AATTCTTTAGGCCCCTTTTGTAATCCCGAAACCCTAGGCCCGAAACCCACTACCAAGGATTCAAGGACGCGAAGAGTTTCACAAGCACTGCTTCTCCTCAGATGCGATGTCTGCAAAGGCCCGTTTTGACAGTGGTAGAGCTAGATTTAGAAACTTAGGATTTAACGTTTAGGTCCCTGATCATGATTCGCAAAACAGAGTTGAGCATGTCGTGTGGAAGCAGGCAGTACTGTAGGCACCATCATGGGGTTTTGTCTGCAGAGAGGGCGATGTTTCTTCTGCTATCGTGGCGTTCATCTATGTCTGCTGTCTGCTTGGTGTTGGAAGCCAAGGTTTGACTCACCGACGTCAAGTCGGATACGAATACCTATGATCCTGCAATACAGTTACAAGACAGTCATGCCGGCTTACTATATGGCTTACACGACCATTAGATGGTTGATGTACTGCCCGTGCAATGATCGCTGTATGAGTGGTTGAAAACCCTAAACCCTTAATCCTGAACAAACCCTAAACCCTAATCCATAAACCTAAACCTAAACTGACCTTAACATAACGACCCCAAATAGTAAGGAAACCCCAAGTTGTCGGACGCCAGCTGAGTGTTGTTTAAGTTCAAGTGCCTGCGACCGAAGTCGTAGGGTTATGGGTTTAGGGTTTAGGGGGATGCTAAAAACCCTCAACCCCCATAAGCCTTAAGCCCTGTAAGCCCTAAGCCCTAAACACCCAAACCTTAACGCCCTTAACCACAAGCCCTTCAGCCCTTCAGCCCCAAGCCTCTCGCAGTAGACTCCGCATTTTGCCAGGATGGTGAAGAACACCAGCTTCGACATTTTCTGCGCATTTGTGGTGGTCTCCAACTCGATCTTCCTAGGCACCGCGAGCTGGATTGGCCCTTTGCGTGTATGGAGTGTAGGGGATTGGATTTAGGGTTCCGGAAAATGGGCATGGCGGTATGATGTTTAGGGTTGAGGGTTTAGGTTTAAGGAGGATTAATGATGAGAGTGGAGACCAGAGTGCTTTTGCCCAGAGCTTTGCAACAGTCCCGCATGCCTCTGACAATGATATAGGGGCCTAAATAATTACCAATACTATTCTTTTTGGGGGGGTTCCTTACTATGATTCTAGAATTATGGCCCCAGAGCCCTATTCTAATTATTAAGGCCCCTGTATCAGCAGTTCTAGTGCCGCAGAAATCGCAAGACTCCCTAATGCAGTCTCTTCGCGGTCGCAATATCATCCATAAACCCCGCCTGAGACCCGTGAAGCTTTGCAACATGCATAACAATGACAGCTACAGCTACAGGCCCCTTAGATTCCGACGGATACGACTATAAGCCGGAAGAATCAGGTCCACGGACCCCACGGAACATTTGTCACCGATTGTGCCGCTGATCGGATGTTGGATTTCAAGAGGTAGGATCGCAATAAGAAGCGTGCGTCGACAGGCATCTTCTGCATCTGAGTCTAAAGCAAGTCTGGAGAGCCGTCAGCAGGAATGGCGGCCCTAAACCCTAAACTCTATACCCTTAAACCCTAAAGCCTAAACTCTAGGAATGGCGGCCCTAAACCCTATACCTTTAAACCCTAAAGCCTAAACTCTTAAATCCTAAGAACATCCTCAAAGCGAGCCTTTAAGCCTGAGTCCTAGACCCCAGACCCTCCCCAAACCCTGTGCACAAACTGTGTAGAAAGCATTACAAAAAATGCATACAACCGTAGACGTAGACCCTTATAGAACTGCGTTGGAACCCCATGAAGTATTAGAAACCCTGACAGTTCGTCTTCAAAACCAGCCTTGGTTCAATCCTGACTAGGGCTTAGGGTTTACCGATTAGGGTTTAGGGTTTAGGGTTTAGGGGTTTAGGGTTTAGAGTTCAGGTTTTAGGGTTTAGGGGTTCAGGGTTTAGGGTCTAAAAGCGCCCTGCCAGGCGTCGAGGTCCAAGCCAGCAACCTGGATGAACTCGGGCTAAGGGTAGGGTTTAGGGTTTAGGGTTTAGGGTTTAGGGTTTAGGGTCTACCTGTACATCCCGTCAGGGTCCATGACATCTTACATACCATACAAAGTAGCTGTGTAGACTTCGCAGCTAGTCTTTATAGAAGGTACATGTTATTGCATATCTATAGGGGATAGGTTTTAGGGCATCTGAAGATGTATTTGTAGGAATTCTTGCAAGGCCTAAGTATATCCTCAACCCTGCCTGAACAGGCTTTGGGCCGTGTTCACTCAGCGTATTGGAGTTTAAGATTTGGTGGTGCGGGTTCAAGGTTTATAAGTTTAGGTTTCAGTGGTTTAGGGTTAAGGGGTTGAAGATAGGGGTAACAATTATGTGCTAGACGATCCACAGCTGTCCTGACAGTAATGATCGTGACACCATTATTGCTGATGGTCTGCATGCTGGGAGTGCTAAATGCTGTTATTTCCAGGAAGAGGATGGAGAAAGTCATGGAATCTTCACCAGTTCTACAGCAAGCACATACCCCTTGTGTGCTGCAAGCCCGCGACAAATTTCATTGAACCTCACCGAATCATCCTCACAAGACCCAAGGCCCATGCATCTGCCTAAACCCTAAACCTTAAATCCGAAACCCTAAACCCTAAATCGTTCGCCGAAGCCGAAATCCTCAGCATTGAACCTGGCCGCAAACCTCTGCAAGGTATCGACGGGAATGGCGCCACTCCCCCGGAACTCGACATTGCGCGCTACCTCTACACTGCACTTTGGCATGTTCCCTTTTCTTCGCTTCAGGCGTAAGTTTTGTTTGATGGTTTGTATGGCTGCGTGTCTGTCTGTGGTTGTTTATGTATGTAAAGGTGTATGTGTGGATGAAAGCATTGATGGATGGATGGTTGGCTGGTTGGCTGGATGCATACATGCATGTGTGCACGTGTGTTTGTATGTCTGACTGTCTGTGTTTCAGTCTGCCTGTTGTATGTGCGTAGGTGTATGTACATATATGTATGCGCATATGTATGTATGTATGTATGTATGTATGTATGTATGTATGTATGTACGTATGTATGTATGTATATATGTATGTACGTATGTATGTGTCTGTATGTAAGTATGTACGTACCTATTTATGTATGCACGTATGTATGTGTATGTGTGTGTAGTTATGTATGTGCGTCTGTATGTAGGTAGGTGGGTATATAGATGGATACGCTCACGCACACACGCACACATGTGTATGTATATATAAATATATATATGTTTTTTTATATATGTATACACATGAATATATATATATATATATATATATGCATGTATATATATACATATATATATATATATGTGTATGTATATATGTATGTATGTATGTATGTATGTATGTATGTATGTATGTATGTATGTATGTATGTATATACACAAACATGCACGTGTGTGTATATGCATATGAGTATGTTTGGGTGCTTTAACTCGTATGTTTATAATCTCTATATGTTAATTGCGTAGAGATGTGCTTAGATTCTGCAATTCCTGGAAGCTGACAGGGCCTGCAAGTGCCTCCCCGCACACCTTCCGCATACTGTGACTAGTTGATGCATCCGCTGTCTACATGCTTGGTTCCGGACAGGCTCAATCGAAACAGCAGGTTACCCATCTTTGCGTGGAGGTATCTTTCATAGCACGAGCAGTAGTATCGCAGTGTCAGGGCCAAGATGCGGAGCTGCCCATGCGAAATGAAGGAAGAACTGAGAGGATCGGAGGGGACGGGGAAAGAGTGAGACAGAGACACATTCAGTCAGAGAAAGAGCAGGAGGAGAGCAGGGAGAGGAAGAGGAAGACAGAGGGGCGGAAGCTGGGACAAAACATCATTTTTTCTGAAATCTTTAGATCCAACAGTTTGAAGCATCTGGCTGAGCAACATGGCTGTTTCCCGCACACCGAGCATGAACCCCCACCAGATCCAGTGACGACCGTGACTTTTGCTGCTCAGGGCTTAGGCTGTTTCTTTTCCGTATTTTTCCGTAAAGACAGGGTGGGGTGTCTGTGTGTGTGGGGGGTTCTTTGTGCGTGCAAGGCATGGTTCATCCTTGAGCTAGCCTTACGAATGGCGGCTGATGGCCCACGACAGTTGCTTTGCTTGCATATGGTGTTACTGGTGTTTCTGTCCTTCTTGCTTGAACTTGTCTCTATTGCTGTGAAATCTTGCTAGTGGCATGGCATGTGACGGTGGCAAGTACATGCACTTCTGAGACTTGTTGAGCAATAGAGTCTAGGCTCACTACATTTTCGTGACGACAAGGCTCAGGACCTAAATGCCAGAGCCACACAGGATCGTCCCTATGTTTCTCGGCACCCGCAGTTCCTACCACTATTGCTACTACTAGTTACTGTTACTTGTTTGTTAGTCTTGTTACTATTATTTCGATTATGTTATTTGAGTTACTATTATTGTTTTTACTACTGCTATGATTACTGTTGTTATCCTGCGTATTATCATTATTTCTATCATTTTCTCGTTGTTGATAATATTGTTATGAGTATGAATCAGTATGAATAGGATTGTCAGTACCACTGTTATGACTATTTGCATTGCTATGTCTAGTATGATTATGACTGTGAGCATTATGATTTGTATTCGAGATGCAGGCCAAGGCTTTGGGCTTTCGGGGTTTAGGACTTAGGGTTCTGGCTCTGAGAGTTCGGAGGACAAGCTCATCTCAACTCACGGCTGTGCGTGCACATGATTCTAGCCGTCCTGCCGTTTTAGCTCGGTTTGTGCAAGCAGCTAGGATTTGCGGTTGAGGGCGGCTAGCTTTACTCGATTCCCAGCCCCTGCATTCCAAAAAACCCTAAACCCTACATCCAAAAACCCTAAACCCTACCTCCAAAAAACCCTAAACCCTACACCCAAACAACCCTAAACCCTACATCCAAAAAACCCCAAAACCCTAAACCGTCGGAGTTTCAGTGTCCGACGCCAGGGTCCAAGTGGGACCCCCTCGTGTGAGGGTCTTCGGAAGGCATAAGACTATATAAGGGGCATCTTCGACAAGGGGCTGAATCCAGCTCTACCCGATCACGCTAGACCCTAAAACCCTAAACCCTAAAGCCTAAAGCCTAAAAACCATAGAAACCCTCAGCCCAAAAACCATAAAACCCTAAACCCTAAACCCCAAACCCTGGACCCTGTAGGCACCCCAAGATCCCCTGAACCAGAACATGGGAAATGTCTGGCATCTCATGAGCTTGTTTGCAGGGGGGTGGGCACCCGTTTCGTTTCCGGAAGTCGCTGCTTCTTACCCTAACCGCCCAGGTACTTACTATATAGGGTTCTAGAGCCCCTAGGGCCCTATATAGTAAGTACCTGGAGGGTCAGGGTTAAGGCCCCAAAAAACGTGAAGTAAGGTGCCCCTGCCCTTGCGTCTACCAGGTACTTGTGTTCAGATGACTGGGCGTGGAGCGCGCTGGATGTTTTCGTCCCCGCCTCAGAGAGTGGGAGGAAGCTACGCCCCCTGAGGGGCATCGGATCCCTCGACCCTAAACCCTAAATCCTGCAGACAGACTGAAAAGGGGGCCGACAACAAAAACAATTCCCTGAAACCCTGAACCCTTAGAGAGACCTTCGAGTTGGAACAGAAAAATGCAACAAAAAAAGAACGCAGGGGGACGGAGCAGGCAGAGGATTCTGCATGTAGCACCGCCGTATCTCGTTTTTTAATTTCCGAGACCCCGAGACGTGCCGCCATCTTCGGGCAGTTTGAGGGGATACTCCCTCACCTCAGCCACACTGTAGATACGGCGAAAGCCATTGGGGAAGAGTTGCCGGATCCGGATGCGGCCGTGGGATGGTGTGACTTTTGGTTACGGTTGGGATCTGCTGGGATATATCGAACAAGAAACTGGTGTGTTGCGTGATCATGTTTGAAGCAGGAGGAAGGTGTGCAGCCGCCCTGGCAGCGTTGGCCGTGGCGGGTGGTAGTGTTGAGCAGATTAGAGCAACAGCCCAGGGAAGCGCTTACTTTGTAAGGCTTACATTAGGCAGAGACAACGAGACCACTGCCCCAAGCTGCTAAGAACAACATGTTCAGGTGCAACAACGTGCGGAGAACACATACCACTGCTGTTCATGATGCCAGCTTCTTGCGCGCAGAACTATCGGCACCCGAAGCCCGATAAACCCAAAACACCCTAAACCCCGAACCCGCTTTTTGCGATGTGTCATCGGCGACCCTTTCGGACCTCCGGCCGATCAATCTTTAGGTTGGTTATAGGGTTTAGGGTTTAGGGTCTATCTATACCCAGCAACCATTCATATGGGTAATACTTTAAACTCGGCCACCTTTTGGGGTCTTTTTTAAGATGCTGTACTTTAGTTCTCCAATACCCAATCTCAAAACTCGTTGGGCTCTTATAGTTTAACCGTAATCTTCAAGTTTAGCCTTCTATTTTCCTGGCTTATTGGGGAAGTTAGGCACTATTTTGGGGACCTAAAGTGTTCGGGTGAGTCAAAGTTCAGCGGACAAAGTGAGCCCTAAAGCCTGAACCCGGAACCCTTTTGCCTTCAACCCTAAACCCTAAACCCTAAACCCTAAACCCTAAACCCTAAACCTTAAGCCTAAACCGGACAAATATTGGGCTCGAGGCCAGAAGACATCACCATGCTCAAAGCGCACATATCGGGTGAGGGTTTAGGGTTTAGGGGCTTAGGGTTTAGGCCTGACAAGGATTAAACAGAAACCATGAGATCATGTATTCTGAGCAACATGCAGCGGTCAAGCTCAGGCTCTCAGCAAAATAACACTACTCTTGGTGTTGTTGCCGGAGCTTCCTCACTACATGTTGCCAAACATGTACCGCAGGGCGATTGAATCTGCAGTTGGAGGTTACGCACCAGGTATGGCAGGCATGCTTGTGTGTGCATATGCTTGGTGTACCTGTCCATGCATATGACATTCCGTACGTGAGTGCGTGAGTGTGCTAAAACATGCGCATCTAACATACATATCTATCTATCTATATATATATATATATGTGTAAATAAACTATCAAGTAAATAATATATATATATACACATTTTATATGCATGTATATACACATATATGTATGTATCTACATACACATATCATATATGTATATGTACACACACACCCATACATGCGCTCGCACACATAGTCATGTTAAAACGCAGCGACAGCGGCTGACCGGTGTCCTAGACCACGATACCCTAAAGTTGCAAGAGCGTCTGCAGGTCGTTACCACTTCAATATGGGAGTTGGTCGCAGACATCATCTTTCTTCTCCTTGACGATGACGTCGGCAACGTTGCGAGTGTATCAGGGTTACGCGCGCTGCCCGGCTTGAGCTGAATAGCCATTTGTCCGGCTACCTTGTGCTGACTATGATGCTGAAACTGAGAATGAACCCTTGGCAGTGCGCAGTCGGTAGCCGGCGGTCGGTAGGTAGTAGTCTCGTCGTCGTAGTAGTAGTGGTTGTGGGTGGTAGTAGTAGTAGTAGTAGTAGTAGTAGTAGCAGCGGTAGTAGCAGCGGTAGTAGTAGTAGTACTAGTAGTAGTAGTAGTAGTAGTAGTAGTAGTAGTAGCACTAGTAGTAGCACTAGTAGTAGCACTAGTAGTAGCACTAGTAGTAGTAGTAGTAGTAGTAATAATAATAATATAGTAGTAGGTGATGGTCGTCGTTGTACCCTTGCACAGAGAAGACTGCATCAAGTTTGGCTTTGCTGGTTTGGCAGCTTTGCTGGTGGTGCTTCTGCGGGTGTCAGCTAAGGTTCCGCATCATACGGATCACCCGAGTTGTGAAAGCTGTCCGATTGATGCGTGTCTTCCGCTTTGTCATGGCATTCCGGACATTGATAACTTCCATCTTATACACGTTGAAGTGTCTTGGCTGCAATGCGCTTCTACACAAGCAATGGAAGCGAGCTCATGGGGGTATAGGTCTCTAAATTGGGGTCTTTGGGCCCCCAATATAGTACGGCACCCCCAAACACACAAAGGACTCTAAACAGGGACCCTAATTTGGAGAACTACCCATGTGATCTCTAATCCCTAAACCCCAAACCCTAGACCCCAAACCCTAAACCCTAAACCCTAATCACTAAACCCTAAACCCTAATCCCTAAACCCTAATCCCAAAACCCTAATTCCTAATCCCTCACCCCTAAACCCGAATCCCTAAACCCTAACCCTAATCCCTAAACCCTAATCCCTAATCCCTGAACCCTAATCAGCATGGTGTACTCCGAGCTTGTGAAGGTCCCTCTTTTGGGCGTTGATGCTTCTGATTGTCATCGTCTATGTCTTCGGAGCCTCGGTTCATGCAACATTTTCAGTGCAGTCTTCCAGGATTCTTAGTGTTTGGGGTTTGGGGTTTAGGAGTTTAGGGTTTAGGAGTTCAGGGTTTAGGAGCTTTAGGAGTTTAGGGTTTAGGGTTTACTAGAACGCCACTGTTTGCACGATTCAGGAGTTCTTTTCACGCAAGCTGTCAACGACTTCCTTCTGGACAATGCCGAGACCATGCCATTGACAAAGGGCGACGAGGAATTGGCGAGAAACTATTTCGGATCACTGCAAGATGCGATGCTGCCAAGCTGTTCTCTTGAGAGCTATGTGCAGAGCCCACGCTCTTGCGTTGTTCGCTAGCTGCTTAGGGTTTGGGTCAGGGTATGTACTTAGTATGTGCGACAAGTTGGAACTGAGAGATGCAGCCACTACTCAGCCTGAGTCCCCAAGCTTTCAGCCTCTTCAACTCTTAGGCTGAGTCTCTTCATGAGCATTGCCGGGGGTGTCAGCTGGGAAGCGGTAATACGACCCCTTCGAGCGGTGTCTGAGTTTTGGGGAGCTCTCTTCGTATTCTACATCAGCTTCTTGGCTTGCATCACTTAGACCGCTTTGCGAAGCACACGGACGAACTCGTATAGCACTGCTTCTGGTATGTGTTGCGGTGAAGTTCTGAATGGCCCTTTTCTTTATATACAGCCTCTGAGGTTTCACATTGTTCGCCGTCCTGAATGTCGTCACAGGACGGGGTCCGCAAAGTGTCGCAGAGTGAAGTGTCTAATATAGAGGCCTAAATAATTACAAACTTTTTTTCGGGGGTTCCCTATTATAATTATAGTATAATATACCGCCAAACCCTGTTCTAATTATGAAGGCCCCTGCATTAATTAGAACTGAGACTTGCTGCATGGGAGTGGTTTTTCAAGCTGTACGCCCAAAGCCTGGACTGAACCTAATAAACCCTAAAACCCTGAGCCCTAAACGCTAGACTTCCCTAAGCCCTTGAAGACGGCTTATAAGGCTTCTGAAGTGAACCTCTAATAAACCCTAAAACTCTCAGCCCTAAACGCTAAACTTCCTAAACCCTTAAAGGCGGCTTATAAGGCTTCTGAAGGCCTCCTGAACCGGTCGGTGTCACCGTAGGCTCAGATCTTGCTTTCATGCTGTTGTAACCAAGAGATGTCAGCAATCGGACAAGGCATTTAGGGTCTAGGCTAAAATTTAGGGCTTTAAGGGTTTAGATTTTATAAGGGGGATGGGGTTTGGGGTGTAGGCTAAATTTTAGGGCTTCAAGGGTTTAGATTTTGTAAGGGTGATGGGGTTTAGGCTTGGATGGCCGGGTAGGCCACTTGGCGCCAGGGTTCAGGGTTCCACGGTTTCTCCTACAACTACAGTAGGAACATATATGATCAGAGCAAGTTGCCCTAAACCCTAAACCCTAAACCCCTAAACCCGGAACCCTAAACCCCAGAGGCTGGCAGCGAGTTCGATTTCATGGTGTCGAGAATCTCACGGGGCTAACATGGAATCTACCTGTAATCTCCTTTGTAGTCCCTTTTGTGGGCTAACTTATTGGATCCTAAAAATATACCGGTTACGCCAAAAAGGGAAGTACTATGGAGACTCAAGGTTGAATCTAGTAGAGAAGAACTCAGCTCAAGATCTGCAACTCCCCGAGGGGTGCTTGGCCACCAAACAGTTTCAACGTGTCTGCGTGGTCTATCTTAAGTGCCCGCCTGAGTTCAGTCTGATCTGCTGCCACCGAACACGACCGGTTTGGTAGTTGGTTCTCTGAGTTATCTTTTTATCCAGTCTATAAGCTCTGAAAATCAGTTGTTTTTTTCTGAGGAGTGTTCTGCCAAAGTGCGATTGAAAGTGCGCAGAACGATCATACAGCCGTGGTGACTGGGCAGAGAATGTGCTTTCCCAAGCCACACCTCGTTGTAAGCATTTGGGTAGTTCTCTAAAGTGGGGCCCTGTTTCTGGTCCCTAAAATAGTCCGGCACCCGTACAAAAATAACCCTAAACGGAACCTTAATTTAGAGAACTACCCATGTCCGGGGCGCCCTACACCCTAAACCATCCTAACCCCTAAACCCTAAACCGTTCTTCCTGCTTGCCGCCTGGCAACCCACTCAACCAGCCGCTAGCTCCTCGAGTTGGGTTGTTAGGGTTCAGGATCAGGGTTTAGGGTTTAAGGGTTTAGGGTTTAGGTTTTAGTAGTGGCCTCTTGTACGGTCTTCACAAGGTAAGGTTGCCACTTAGACTGCAGTTTGTGGAAAACGGTTGCCGAGCTTGTGCGATCTTTGGGAGGGTTTTCGCAGTTTTAAGAACCCCTGGTTCTGGGAAGCTTTCATTGTTAAGTCACTCTAAACCCCTAATCCCTAAACCCTATAAGCCCTAAGCCCTCAACTCTATAAGCCCCAAACTCTAAACCCTAAACTAAACCCCTAAGCCCCTAAACCCCTAAACCCCCCTATAAACCCTGAACTTCATTTCAAGTCCGACACCTGGCACCCTGCTCAGCCCGAAGAAAGACGGAAGCCTCAGAGGCCGCGGAAGCCCTGAGCTATCTGAGGTCCACTCGATTCTGACAAGTTCGGGTTTTGGGTTTAGGGTTTAGGGAACTCTCTGAGGTCCACTCGGTTCTGAAAAGCCATTAGCGTAGGGGCCTCAATAATTACCAATATTATGTTTGGGGGTCCTTATTTCTAATTATAGTATCATGCCCCCCAGAACCCTGTTCTGATTATTAAGACCCCTATTATATCAGGGTTTTGGGGTTTTGGGTCTTGGGTTTGGGGTTTTGGGTTTAGGGTTTAGGGAGATTATCTGAGGTCCACTCGATTCTGAAAAACAAGAAGGCCCATGTCGACAAGATCAAGGCGTTGTTTAGCCAGTTGGGAGACGAGCCTTGGATTTAGGCTTCATGTCACCCCTGCTGCGACGACTCCCACTCCTACCCCGTTTGGGTCGATTGAGTATGACCGGGCTCGTCTGTACTCCGTACCCCGTGAGGCTCTTCCCTGTGCGAACCCTGTGACCATCTTGCCAAGGAGAAGACTGGCGCCATTACGTTTGCCATGTTCGAGGAGAAGATTCATTCACCTGCCGTGCAGGCGGCCCCGACCGTCGACCTACCCGCACTCGCCCTCAATCCAAAACTCATCCCAAAACCTGAGTATTGTTAAAACTACTCGCCTGACTACTACAATTACTACTACTATTTTTGCTATTAGTAGTTACAGTAGTCCCGTCATCGGAACGGTTTTGGCAGCATTGTCGACAAAAATCACTTCGACGACTGCTGCTAGAACCTCGCTTCCACTGCCATTACAACTACCAGGTTACCACTGCTGCTACGGTTACTACTACTAGTACTACTGCTCCTCTCTTCCTCCTACTGCTCCTACTACTACTCCTCCTCTTCTTCCTCCGACTACTACTAGCTACTGCTACTGCTACTACTGCTGCTACTGCTACTGCTACTGCTACTGCTACTGCTACTGCTACTTCTACTACTACTACTACTACTACTACTACTACTGCTGCTACCAGTCCCACCGCTAGCCATGACACTTATAGACGAGTTCTGTTCCTACGCCCAAGACTCGGACGCCAAAGTCGGAGTTCGAGCAGCCTGATCCCGCAGAGGCATATTTCGAAGTCCTGGGCCTGGATGTCTGGGACGAAGCTCGGCTGCTTTCGGCCCTACACGTCTGACAGACCACCCCAATGCCGCACCAAGACTGTCGCAACCACCGCCCCTCAACATGGACGCAACGACTTCGAGCCCGGCTTAGGTCTTTAGAGAAAATTCGAGAATTTGTGAATACTTTTGCGCTGCCTTGAACAGGTGTTCTCAATTGGAGCGGCTCGCTTCAGTAGCAACTTCGAAATCGCCATCAGGATGACATGCATGTCTCGAGACCAAAGCTACTATCACAGTAACAATGCTCGTGAGAACGCAGCCCTCGCCGTGTAGGCCTCGTCGGGAGCTCCAGCACAAAGGCCCTTGCCCCAAGTTCGAAGCTAGATTAGCTTAATTCTAAGGCCCAAGCACTAACCCTAAACCCCTAAACCCCTGAACTCCGAACCCTAAACCCCCAAACCCTAAACTCTGAACCCTAAACCCCTAAACCCGAAACCCCCAAACCTCCAATCCCCTAGAACCTGAACCCTAAGCCCCTAAACCCGAAACCCCAAACCTCCCAACCCCCAAAACCCTGAACCCAAAACCCTAAACCAGCCTTAAACCGCATGAACCCTGGTCTCCAGGCCTGGTCCTAAGCCCCTAAACCCTACACCCCTAAACCCGAATCCCAAAACCTCCAAACCTCCAAGCCCCTAAACCCTAAACCCTAAACCCTAAACCCTAAACCCTAAACCCTAAACCCTATCCAGGCGTGGTCCTTCTTCAAACTGCTGGACTTGGACAACGGTGGTGAAGTGGAAGTGGAGGACCGCGGTGTAGGGCTTTGGGTTATTTGTGTTTTGGGGTTTGAGGCTTGAGGGTTCAGATTTTAGGGGTTTTGGGCTTTGGGTTTGGAGTTTCGGATTGTGGGTTTAGAACCCTAAACCCTAGACCCTAAACCCTAAACCGGTTTAGGGTTGAAGGGTTAGGGTTTGTTGGGCGTTGGGCTTGGGGAAGTTTCGGGTTTCGTACCCCAAACCCTAAAACCTAAAACATAGGGGCCGTAAGAATAAGAATAGCATTGGGGGGTGGGGGGGGTATGTAATATTATAGTTATAATAAGGAACCCCAAAACCCTGTTCTAATTATCGAGGCCGTTTTTATCAAGTTACAGGTGACGCCGGGAATATTCAGATGGGGCTGTAACATAATACCCACAGGATTCAGGGTTTAGGATGTCCATATATGAATCTTATATGAATGGCACATACAGAGACAAGAGAAAACCAACACTACGCGATCCCTGGCATGAAACACCTGAACCCGAAACGTTAAACCCAAATGAATTTTGAGAATGACAAACATGTCAAGGAGTTTTTGATGGGCTGCTTGCGGCTTCGGGGACCTGCCCGCGCCATCGATGTGGGCAAAGTCATTCACGACACCGGGGGCGGTTAGTATAGGAGCGTTGATAATTAGAATAGGGTTTTGGGGTACCATAGTTATAATAAAAAGGAACCCCCCAGAAAACTATAGGTAGTTATGTAGGCTCCTATATTACTCGTAAGAGTTTAAGAGGGTTGCTGTGAGGCTTTGTGTAAGCGTTTCTATAAAAGGTTACTACGAGGGCGACAGGTCTTCCATGTAGGGCTGCCGCAAGACTTTCCGAAGGGTGTTTGGGTTCATGGGGAAAGGGTTTCGAAATTTAGGTCTTCAAGCCTAGAGTATACAACTCGTGTCCCAGAATCCCGTGTTTAACTTCAAGCATGGACGGTTCTACCTACTCCCGGCTTCGTCCGTGCGTCGCACTGCACAGTGCACTCGGCTTTGCAGACTACCTTTAGATGCGTTCTCGCGCGAGAACGAGAGAGAGAGAGAGAGAGAGCGATCGAAGGTTGGGCCTTCTTCCAAGTCGGGTGTAGGGTTTACCTGGACCCGTAAGAACCTCACTTTCTAGGGTTCCTTATTATGATCTGCTTGTAAAAGTCCTTAAAAGGGTAGGTTCTTGGGGTCTAGGTAGGGCTTAGTCTTAAACGGATCCTTGTCTTGGGTTTGGTGGGTTGACGGTTTAGAGACGCCACTTGAGTGTCTGCTTTGGTTCATTGATTTTTAATATGATTGTCATGCTGATGCAAGGAAGTGGCAGATCGCACGAAAACCTGATTCAAATTTGTACATCACCAAGGCTTCTTTACTACCTTATGGCTGCGAATTGTTCTTATAAGCCCGAGGCCCAAACTACCGAAGAGCTTTGGGCTTAACTCGAACACTGAGTCTGGGGAATTCTTTAAATCTAAAGAGTTTCGAGAGGGGCTTCCATAAAGGCGACTATAACAGCTTTATATGTTTGTTTAGAGTTTAGGGTACATTGTAGTAGTACAGAAGCTGAATAATTACTGTTATTTGAGCTTAGAGTGTTCCTTACTGTATTCGTTTTCCAATATATGCTACAACCACATTATTCTAATGAGTAATGCCCCTAAATTGAGCCGCTGTAGGTTCAAGCTTTAAGTTTGATGCCTTACCGTTGTCAGCTTGCTCTATCGTTTTGATACGGATATCTGTTAACTGTTGGTGCAATCTGCATTGGTCTTTCTAGCTGCCCCTAAACCCTAAATCCTAAAACCTAAACCCTAAAACCTAAACCCTTAAGTACCGTCCTGTCCTGCCAGCCTCAAGCTGGGTTTCTTGTCCTTTACCCACTCCCTGCAAGGATCAGTCCTGGCTGATGCGCTACCTTCCAGCATTCGTTTGAAGTTGCTCTGGCTGGGCTTTGGAGTACCATACTTTAATAGTTAGTTGGGACCTGTTCCTTGAAGGAACCATTATGAAATAAAAGTCTATACTTTTTGCTCCCTGGTTACTTCAAAGCCCAGCTGACTTTCTTGATAGGTGACTGCCATAGAGTCCCTAATCCCAAATTAAACCCTAATCCCTGACTATGTTGCTCTTGGTACCTTCCACTTAGCTCCCGTTACCCACCCGAGTGGCTTGGTTTGTTTGTTCACATCTTTGGTTCGCGGCCCAGGACATATCTATATATATATATATACATATCTACACATGTGCACATGTATATATATATATATATACACACACAAATGAAGACATACACAAATATGAATATACAAGGTATGCATATTTATACACATGTACTTATCTATCTGTGTATGATATCTCTCTCTCTCTCTCTCTCCATATATATATATATATATATATACATATTTCTAGGAGCACACATAGTCACATAGTCTTCCTCTTGTGTAGACTATTTGGCGGATGTACTGCTTGTTTTGCGGAGCCGTGCACCGTGGTCCTTGAGTCTTGCCTATAGTCTCCATTGTAGTTCCTTTTTGGGGATACCTTATAAAATCCTTGGTATAGATCTGGTTAAACCAAAAAAAGGAGCCATACCGGAGACTGTAGGTGCTTCTTGTGTTTGGATCCGGCCATTTCGAGCTTTTCGATGCTCCATGTAGCACCAGCCCAGGAGCCCCTGTCCGGTGATTTTGTAATAATTAGAACAAGGTTTTGGAGGGGTTCCTTTAAAAGTGTTTCTCATAAAGGGGTCTACAAGGGCTACTACAAGGGTTAGGGTTTAGGGGTTACCTATAGTCTCCATTGTAGTTCCTTTTTTTGGTTTAACCAGATCTATACTAAGGATTTTACAAGGTATCCCCAAAAAGGAACTACAATGGAGACTATAGGTAGAGTGTGGGGTTTCGGTTTTAGGATTTAGTGTAAAAGTGCCAGGTCTACGCAAGGCTAAGTTTCACAGTTAGCAGCAAGAGCAGTAGCATGCATAGCGCAGCTTGCTCAAATCTTTGCCTGGAGTCCTGCTAGAGCTTCTAGACGAAGATTAGGGGCCGGAGTAATTACCAAGATGATTCCTTCGGGCTCTTCGTCACAAGTATACTATAAAATATCCCACAGCTTGGTCTAACTATCAAGGCGGAGGCTTCTAAGGAACAAGCCGTAAACCCTGCATGGAGAGTGTTCTACAGCAACTGCTCATGTGCTCTTTCCAGCAGCTGAGGTTTATTGCAACCGGAGCCACCCCCTCACGTCATTTCTTGATCAGGAGGAGCCTCAATGTAGGCACGAAGTAGGATCCTCAGCACTAGAACCTCCTTGAAGAATCGATGCCTAAAGGTAAGCACCTCACTTCACACCCCCCAAACCTCAAAAGCCTGAGCCCTGACACCTTCACTCCGTGTTTCCGAGGAAACCAAGGCAGATTTTTCACATATGTCGAGGCCGAGCTGACTCGGATCGTCAGGCAGCGCCCCGGACGACTTAAGCGCTCAGAAGTCTCCAACGTCGTGACCGCGGAGACCCGAATTCCCAAAGCAGAGAACTCTGAAAACCTGAAACCCGAAAACTCCTACATTAGAAGAGCCCTTGAAACCTATAGGCCCTAAACCTGAACTGCCCCAAAAGAGCGCGAAACATAAATCCTACTCCGAAGCCAGTGTCAGAGTTTTGGTTCTAAGGAGGCAAGTCTGGTTTCCTTTTGGGATATAACTCATGTACGTCGGACTGAGGCCGCAAGACTAGGGATGTAGCTTTCCCGGCGGGAGGTTGACATCCAGGCATCTAGGGCACAGTTTGAGGTGTCTCTGTGTGTGCGTGCACGCTGGTGCGTGTGTGTATGTATGTATGTACATATACATATATACACCATACATACATACATACATACATACATACATACATACATATATATATATATATGTGCGTACGTGTGTGTGTGTGTGTGGGTTTGGTATAAACCAAGTCAGCAAGTAAGTAAGTAAGTCAGTAAGTAAGTAGCATATACATTTGTAAATAAATATGTATATATACATATACACGCATACGCAGACACACACACACACACACATCTCTATATATATATATATATGTGTGTGTGTGTGTGTATATATGTATGTATGTATGTATGTATGTATATATATACACACACACGCATAAGTTCTCACATACACATGCACTCACACACACATACATACATACATACATACATACATACATACATACATACACACATACACACATACACACATACACATACATACATGAATACATCAATACGTACATACATACTTACATGCAGACACATATACATACATACATACA